TGCATTGTTGATAGTAGCAATGCTAAGACAATTTTAGGGCATATTCACAAACATTTTAATTATAATGTAAGTAAAAAGATGTAACTATATCTTTACATAAATCATTACTTGGGCCTCACTTGGACTATTGTGTGCAGTTTTGGTTTCCTTATCTAAGAAATAACATTTTCTTATTGGAAAGTGTTCAGAGGACCACTACTAAGATGATTTCTGAATGGAAGGTTTTATTATCTGTTATTTTATTTTCAGAAAAAGGGTAAAACATGAACTTATTGATAATTCAGGGGATTGATAGAATATACCCTCTTATTAATATGTACTGTATTCTGAAGACAATAGAACGAGATGACACAAGTTAAAGATTTTTTAAAAACAAGTAGGCTCCATTTGAGACAGTTTTATTTTTTAATAGTGTGATTAGCTAATGGAACATTCGATTATTTGTTTGTGTTAAACACACGGCTACACAATGGACTATATGTGCTCAGTCAACCACGGGTATTAAAATCTAAATTTTAGCGTTTTAACCACTCAGACTTAACGCTGAGCCAATCAGGGGCTAAACTGAATGAATTGGCATCAGCAGTAATGTAGGCCAGAACCTTATTATAATTTAAAAGGAAAGCGAGTCGATGATTTCCTGACAAATAAATGGGGGATTTGAATTTTTATTTTTGTTCATGGGTGAGTGTGTGTGGACATCCTTGAATGGTTCAATTGGCCATTGTATCTCATAATACTATTTTATGTAATTATATTATATTTTAAGGATTCAGAGTAGAGGGCGTTGTATCATTTATTGAAACAGTTCGATTGTTTCCGGGTGTAGGCCAATAGCAAAAGCCCGTGTAATGTTGTGGGTGAGTAGATAGAATAAATGAATATAACGTTAATGGTGCAGTAATTGTTACTATGTTTAAGAAATTGTTAAACTTTAAAATAACTTCAAGTATTTATCATGAATTACATTTTGCTTTAAAATTAACAGTGAAACTTAGAGGTTCGGCGTGTGAAAGTTGAACTGAAGAAGAAGGTTCCACTTTGCACTTTATGACTATTTCAATTTCATTTTCAGTGCTTGTTTCACTTCAACTTTCAGTTTCAAGCTCGCGTGTTTGAACGCGGTCACTATCAGTGTCAGTCAGTAAGTTAAAAGTTAATGTATTAAAGTAAAAATACAAGAGAGGAAGCTATATTAGATTTAATATTAGCATCCAGTATGAACATGATAGAGTTGTGGTTGGTGAGCATTTAACTTTTAATTTTAAGTACAACTATAAGCGACAATTGCACTGTTAGTGTTACTATTACTGGTATTAAGTGTGGGATTTTACTATATGTACTGATGCAGAATTTAAGAAGAATAGTATCCTAATTCCAAATTTCAGGAAAGCCAATTTTGATGGAATGAGACATGATCTGCCTTCTGTAGATTGGACTAAAGAGTTGGGAGGAGATCTTGAACAGATGTGGG